CACACACACACACACACACACACCCACACACACACACACACACACACACACACACACACACACCCACACCCACACACACACACACACACACACACACACACACACACACACACACACGTGAAGTTTGAAACATTATTGATAACCCATTCTTAAATCAAATATGAACTATTATTTACCTAGTCTCACGTAATTCATCTAGTTAGAGTTTTGTACAATCAAGTTTGAAGAGGTTTAAATGTTGTTTGAACCAATATCAATAAGATATAAACTAAGTTAAAATTGGTTAAAAAAAAAGATGTAGACAAGCATGAACTATGTTCAATCAGGGCTTAACCTTGTTTGACTTATTTAAAATAGATTTGAAGCTTATTTACTTGGTTCAAGCTTGATGATTAAAAAAAATGAACTTATTTGAATCTTATTAAATAAGACCTAAGATGATTGATAACTTGATTTGAAATTAATTCAACTGAGTTGAAACTATATTTGACTTTCTCTTTCTACTCAAGTTTAATTAAAAAAAAAAAAAACAAAACAAAACAAAACTCAACGAAGCTTAATCTATTTTTAAATGTCTTTTTAAATGTGTTCGATACGGTGCAGAGTTAAAATAAGTGTTGAAATTTTATAAGACTCTGAAGGGGGAGTGCAAAGTCAAAGTCATTCATCTTAGTGACCAACACATGCTTCCAAATATCAATAATGGACACATATCTACACATATTAGGAAAATGCATGGTTCATTCCTCCATGAAATTTCTTAGTTTAAACATCATTAAAGTATGTGTTAGTATGTTTCTCCTTCATAGGAGGGCATGGAAAAATGTACATGCAATAAACTTGCAAATTGTATAGTTATTCCTCATCACTAATTTACATCAATGTAAGGTAAATTATCACCTACAAAATAAAAAAATAACATAATATTAACAGTTGACTTCCATTGTTGGGTAACCTATAAAATTATTTAAATATAATTAAGTAAATATCTATTATATTTTTATTAATTATAAATGAAAAAAAAAACTTTATTGTGAGCACTTTCTTACGTTTTCAGCTCAACATCCTAGAAAATTTCTCTCTAAGAAGTTCACAAATATTTCAAATTTAAGAATGGTTTTACAAGCCCAATATACAATATGTTAGTGAATCTATATGGAGTTTGCTTTGATGGGGTTTCATTTTATCTTATTGTTCATCCTAAAAACATTTCTCTTGATGTGGATCATGCACTGGTCCAACTCCTTAAGAACTCTCATCAACTCCTTAAGAACTCTCCCTTAACCATAGCTTGCATCTTAGCGAAAACAACATTGTTTCTCTTATGATTGAGCTTCAACCCACGAATAATAAATCAAATTCCCAGCTTCCATATATTCTTTGAATATACACTACATAAAATCTTTGTCAAGATCAAAACTCTTGAAGTTCATGCTATTATTAATTTAATTCTTAATTATATTCGTGCTTATGGTGATCTTCTCAAATTTCTTTCTAGAGAAAAGCTCATAAAAAACAATCCAATGTCCAAAAGCAAATTTAGAAATTCTCAAATTTGTGTTTTTACCTTGAATATCAATCACAACGAAGAAGCTACCATTTTCTTCCCCATATTCTTTATAGTGGCCATGATGAATTAAGAACTCAAAGAAATACAAGTTTGGAAGAATATTAATTATTTGAAGGTATATCTTTTAGCCCTCTCAAACAGATCATGCACTTCAAACTAGTTGATTACTTTCTATAAATCACTATATTCGTATGTCGCTGTTGCAATATAATGCCTTTTCACATAAATAAAATTTTAGTTAGCTTAGCAAACAAAGCAAACGGATCTATTTCATAAAAGACAATGAGAAAAATTAATGTTGATCTCTAAAATTCAGACCTTTTTTTGAACTCAATTTTGAAAACCTATTCTCATTCAATTATTAAGTAATAAGTTTTAGTAGAGTTTAAATATGACTAGAACATAAGTTTGAATTAAGTGTTCAAAAAGATTTTTAAACCTCTTCTTAGCATCTTCTCCATCTCAAATGATCTGAGAGCATGTATGATTAGTTTGCACTAAATTTTATAACATTGCTTGTAACCTTCAACTACCAACTCTTCAATATTAACAATGTTGTATCTTTTTATTATTTAGTTTTTAATGAATCTATAACCAATAATGTTGGTTTATAATAGAAAGAATCTTAGAAAAGAATCCTAATAGATTATAATAAGATCATTATAAGTGAACCCTCGATTCAAAAAAAAAAATGATGCAAACTTATAATTTAGATTTTGAATCTTGTTCAGACATTAAAACCCAAATCATAAGTTTCATTAAACATCATATTTCATGAAAAAGAAAATTGTTCAAACCTTATTTTAAAAAAATAAAATAAAATTATCATGTGATAACCACACTCAAAACTTATCCATACCTTGCTCAAATCATGTGATCAGATTTGAGTATGCATGGTAGAGCAAGTTTTGAATAAAATTTAAATAATTTTAGGTACAATTTTAGTGTGATTCTAATAAAATTTGAGCAACATTTGAATAATATTAAATCAAAATTAAAGTCTTGTTAGAAGAAGGTTCTAATAATACTCAAATATGATCAGATCAATATTCAAATAATGTTAAAACTAAATTCTAATATTACCAGAGAAGTTTTTAATAAGACTCAAAAAGTTCCATTTATGACTTGAACACATGTTCAACAAGGTTTGAACATATTTTGAATATCCTTTAAGCCTTACTATCTTGTTCTACTTATCTTATATAGGGTTGATTCAATTCAACGAATTTACTATATATGCATATGGGCACTCTAATTATACATGCAGACAAAAATTACACTGCACAAAGGCCGAGGTGCAATAGGTAAAATCCTTAGAAAAAGGACTTCAAAAAGTCCCTGAAGGTTGCTTTTCAAATCCCATGAGTTGTAGCACTTTGGGATTCCAATTCATCAACAAATACTCATAATGGTTCATAATAACAAGAATGATGGGAATTCTCTAGTATTCAACACAAGAGAGATGAATAAAATCCTATTTCAATTGATCCAAAAATACATAAAAGAGAAAAACATAAAACTTATAGTAAAAGCACTTTGTGCATGTTATTAGAGAGAAGTTTATGAGATATTGGGTTGACATAGATTTTATATATTATATAATAAATTGAAATAAATATGTGAGATCTCATCATCGACAAATACGATAATGTTGTATAACTTTGAGCCCATTTGTATTATAATGCAAAGCAAATAGGCTATAATCAATTTTCTTTGCAAGTGCATCCTTGGATTGCTTAGAATATTAGGTTACTTTAACCATATACAATATATTCTATCATGTTTGCCATAAAGTAAATCCTTTAAAATCTTGACAAATGCAATGAACCTTGATAAAGTAAATGCATGTTTTACATATGCATAAATCATAAATTCATAAAACATAGATAAAAAAAAATATAGTTTTGATAAATTTTATTTGAAATTGGGAAGTTTTAAAATTATGCTGCTCCAAAAGTATGTAACTGTTATCTTTCCCGTAGAAGATGGTCGTCCTCAGTTGAAATTTTTGGACAGATTCAGATTGGTACCTAAATCAGATCAAATGAAATATTTGGTTAGAAATCAAATCATATTCAACTTATTAAAAAATAGTGAAAAAAAGAAAACTCATTCTTCATGTTCGAAGTTGTTCTTATTGATAATTTGTGTGTGTAAAAGTCGAAGTTTAGGTGTTAGAAATACAAATCCATAGGAATGAAGTGGTATGTAAATGTTACTTATTTAACGAGCCAAACAATACTTTGACTAATAGCTCAATAGTGAGATATATGATATGCAGGTATACATCATGTCATGAATATAAAATTCTATAATTTATAGAGGACTTTTAAATACATGAATAAGTTTTTGCAAATCAAATGATTTAATTGTTATTTTTCACATAACTACATGTGTGTGTGTGTATATATATATATATATATATATATATATATATATATATATCACCCGAAACATTACTATTTATAAAACTAGCAACAGTTTTTTTGAACTACGAAACCAATAAATTTATGTGTGCGACAATAAAATCATTGTTAATTTAATAAAAAAGAAAAATATGAGTTGGGATTTATCGTGAAATTTGTTATTTAAGATTTGTAAATAACAATGTTTCGAGTGATGATTTCTTAAGAAACTCTTAGAAAATAGGGATCATGAGGGGACTCATACCTCAGTTCTGCAACAAGCTCTGTGGTAGAACTTTGTAAGGGTTCAAAATTCCCTTAGGGTCCAATAGTCTTTTGATTGAAGCCATTAATTTCACCTGAAACAAGCAGTAGAAATTTAATATAAGGAAACCCGTAGAGCCAAGCTGCTTTTCATTCATAGGCTAGGTGGCATATATATAAAAACTGAAATTTAGGTTTTATATGGATAAATACATAAGGATTGAGGGTTATGTATGTAAATCAGCCTATATAATATAATGATAGTAATTCTGTCAACATCTTCTAATCTAAGATTTTCTAAATAGAAAAACATAAATGCTGCAACTTAAAATTTAAAGCTGAATCCTTGAAAGTCCAGTAGCCATCAATGAAATAAAGCTATATAAAATGCTCATGTTTTTATGCGGCGGGTTTTATTCTTTTATTGCTCCGCAATTACCTAAATTTCGCCTTTTTCTCGACAAAAATTGAACACACTAGTTGACTTGCTTCAAAGAAAAAGCCACAAAAAAACCCAATTGTTTCGTAAATTATTAAAGACATTCAGAAGAATGAATGGAAGAAAAGTACAGTTTCTTCAGGTTTACTGTAGTGAATCTTCTCGGCTTTCATCAACCCTAAACCATGCTCAGCACTAATGCTTCCACAGTGCTGCGCCGTCCACTCATAGACAAAGGGTTCAATTCGAGCTAGAATCTGAAATAAAAATCAATACAAATAAGAAAGCTTCAAAAGCTAGACGATTGTAACAAATATTTGTAAGGGGTATTTACTTACATATCACAAAATTCTTATAAATTCACATATCTAACACCAAAAATTTCATATTTAAATGCATGCATAAGTTATAACACCAAAATGTTATAAATGTTAATATCAAATTTTGGATGGTAGTTATGTAAATACATAAGAATTGTGTGGTATGTACGTAAATTTCACATGTAAGAGTTGTGAGATATCTACCTTCTCATCATAATGAGTTGTGGAGATATTAAGATGCAAGTTTCCATCGCCAAGGTGACCATAACCGATTACCTTAGCTGCATTTCCTAAAGTTTACAATGGAGTGTCTTAAGACATCTAAGAAAATCAGAAAGCTTTTGAACGAATTAAAAACAAATTTGAGCAGATTCAGATCACAAATATAAAGCAGTGTAAGAATAGACAATGATTGTTGAAACATGAGTGAATACTATTTCAAAGATAAATAACTTAAAATAATATGGGCATTTACATACATACCACCCAATTCCTATGTATTTACATATCTAACACCTAAACTTTGCTTTTTAACATTTATACCACCCAAGCCTTTCATATCACATAAAAAATGCCACCAATTTAAGTTTTAAAAAGCGAAATACACCTTTTCATGCATGGGTAAGGTGGTAAGTACGTAAAACTAAAAGTATGGGAGTGGATATGTAACTACATAGGAATTTAGTGGTATGGTATGTATGTAAACCTTCCAAAAAAAAAATAAATAAATAAATACCTAGCCGTGCTCGCATTTCTTCGACAACGCCATAGAGCGTATCAACAGGTAAGGACAAGTCATATTTGTAGACAGCACCTGCCTTTGCTGTTGCTTCTGAAAGACCCTGTCAAAACATCCTTTTAATTGTTTATTCAAAGAAGAGTCAATACGGGTCTTACATGATAACCCAACTTTAAATCCGATACAAAATTTTTTTGTTATGGTCAGTGTAGAATTCCGAGAATCATTATTGTGATCTGAAAAATCCAATTTTATGTATTAAGAGCCTGTTCGGTATCACTTTTATTTTCTATGTTTGTTTTTATTTTTAATTTTATTTTTAGAAACATGTTTGATTCGAGTATAAAATTAACACATTCTACTTTTTTGTTTTTAAAAACAAATCAACTTGTTCTTAAACATACCCGAAATATCTAAAAAAAATTTTTGAGTGTTTATTAAAATAACTATCACAACCAAACACAAAGAAAATAATCTCAAATGGCCCCTAACATCTTTAAAATTTCATGATCTTGCATCTCACGTTTGTTTGTAAAGCTTATGAAGTAACATCATCAGTACTCCGGCAATTTATAGGTAGGTAAAATTATAACCAATAACAGCAGGTCAATACTAATGGATGGTTGTGGCCCTCCATACCATTGATATGATAGTAACAGAGTTTTAAGAAACAGTGTGCTCTTGGAAATAAATTCTCTATAATTCTTAAGCTAGATTATACATTTCATTTCAGATTGTCTTTTGGCGCATCAACCAATCCTAAAAAGGATACAACAATCTTCAGCATATTTTGATTCTTAGCGGAAGAAATATTCAGCAGCATTTACATACATACCACCCAATTCCTATGTATTTACAAGTATAACACCTAAACTTTACTTTTTACATTGCTATTACCCAAATCTTTCATATCACATAAGAAATACCACTACTTTTAACTTTATAAAGTGAAATACACAAGTGAAATACACATTTTCATGCACAGCTATAGCAGCACATATGTAAAAATTGAAATTTAGGTGATAAATATGTATTTACATAAAAATTAAATGGTATCTATGTAAATTTTCCAAATGTTAAATATGAGTATCTAGCATTGCAACATTCAAAAATAGTTGGGATTGAGATGTTATAAATGAAGAGCCATAATAATTGATAAAAAAAAATGGAAAAAAAAAAAAGAGTGACATATAATCAAACGATATAAACCTCACGAATTTGCCAAAATGATGATGCTTGATTCAAGTCTTGTGCGATAACTCCATCGGAGATAAGACCCACCTCCATCGAACGTAACAGGAAAGCCTCAAGTTTTGTCCTAAATACTAAACATAATGAGATTGATGCCGATTGAAATGAATGACAAAGTCAAAGCTGTAATATTTTTTTAAAGCAAAACAAGATTTGTCATCATTCAGTGAAAAGAGAATAACATGAAGCAATACCAAAGCAGTGCTAGGCAAAAAGAACTAAAAACAAAGGGGCATTTACATACAAAACACACAATTCGTATGTATTTGTATATCTCATCCCTAAACTTTCATACTTAGACACATAGCACTCAAATCATTTAACATCACATAAAAAATAACACTATTACCACTTTTTAGAAGTGAAATACACCTTTTTATGAATATTTAAAGAACCAATGTGCTGTGTTGTGGGTCAACTTTTGAAAATAATTTTTAAATTTAATTTTAATATAAAATGGTATATGATTTTTTATGTTTGAAAACAGTGGTTTTAATTTTGAAAAAAAAAAGATCGAATGAATCTAATAGTTCGCACAATCGTGTTTAATACCGCTTCCCAAAAGATAAGTGTATACCTCGGCGATGAACTCAATCATGCAAACTAAGAGATTTGTGACATCCGTTTGGTCTGCTAACCTTTTATGTGACCGACAAATTCTCCTATCTAATATAAATATTAAATAGGATTTATTTTACCAGGGTTCCAAGTTTCCCATAGAGTCAAACTCATATAGTTAATTTCATTTCAAATAATTGAAGTCACGTGAGAAAAATCTCGATAATGATCAGAGATATTAATTTTTAAGAATTCAAGGTTTAGGTTTCCACGGTAGGACGCGAAAAATCAAGTAGAAAAAGGCCAAATGGAAACAGTTATTTTAGGAGTTCAAAGCAAGAAAAAGGTAGGGGATGTCACAGATCCAGAGGAGAAACCTCAGTGACTGCCCAAACTATCCTACTGTGTGGTTGCGTTTTGGAGACGATGTTATTTAATTGTTAAATCTTGCCAATTTTATTATTTGAGACTTACACTTGCATAATACCCGATTATGCAACTAGCCTTTGTACTAAACGACAACTCAAAACCTAAGATGATTCAGGACTTATGCTGCACAACACGGTTGCACAAGAGCCTAAAAGAGGGTGTGAGGATTTACATCTCGTTGAGCGAGCCGCCTCGAAGTCCTATGAGTTGTTATTACGAGGAATGTTTAGCTGGTGTAGACTTGTCTTGCTGTTGTAGAATGACGACTACCTCTACTTGTTACTTGCTCCATGCTCCTCATTGTGCTGCCCACGAAGTTTGATCCGAGCTCCATGTCGCAACTTCGAGTTTCAGGTTTAATGAGTACATCCAATGGTTCAGTTAGTGACTTGTCGAGGCGTACCTCCTAACCGGTTGTACTACCGTTCTCCACCATAGGGGTTTTGCGAATTTTGTAAATTAAATAATGCAGTAAAGAGAACAATAAAGTGCAAGAATCTTAAATAAATTGCTAGAAAATCCGGTACAAGAAAATCTAAACAAATTATAGAAAAAACACGAACGAGCAAAACAAAACACGATGTCACGTATAAAGAATCAGGAGTTGGTGATTTATATGTGACATTAGGAATGTCCCCAATTATCAGGAGGATTTGAGTGTAATGTTCGAGCTCGAATCTCGGAGCACTGAGTTTCACTATATGTTAAGTAATGACTAAAATTTCATTATTTGATTTAATTAAGGAAGTCATGAACCACAAATTGATGTATACTCAAGTTTAGTGTTTTAATCAATTTGTGAATTAAAGTCAAGTGCTTAGTTTCATCATTCAATCAAAATTAGGTAGATGAACTACCACCTAGAGCGTGCTCATAAAATCTAGGAAGCCTACACTTTAATATGTGCTTGAAGTGATTTAAGGTGTTTTACCTTCAATTAAATTTTTTCCAACTAATCCTCAAATATCTTTTAAATGTTTTTCAAATAATTAAATCAGAAATCCTCATTTTGAGTTAACCATTTAACAAGAGAAATAAAACAAAAAGAAGAAGACCGGACCACTTTCAAAATTAGCAAAGCCAAGGAACGGAAAGATAAGTGAATCGGCCTTAAGAACTAGATGATATATATGTATGCAAGTGAAAACTTTGTGTTAAGCAAGTAAATGCATCAGAAAGGTGTGGCATACATGTAAAAATTGAAGTTTAGGTATTAGATATGTGAATGTATAAAAATTGTGTGGTGGTATGTATGTGAATCTTCCAAATGATGAATGTCAAGATTGTGAAAAAGAATTTAAAAAAGCCATTAAAAATTTTAAAAAAAATTTGATTACATAGATTCAGTCTAGAGCAAGACTTTCCATACTTTTCAGTCCTTCATTTTTTTCCAACAATTCAATAATAGAGATAATGTAAACGCAATATTAAAACCACAATTCCTGTAATCTTGCAATAATCAATCATTCCAAATGTATATAATCAAAGAGATTTATCACATTTATTACAAGCATTTCTTAAGATAAATGACATGCAACTATAAGGAAAATGCATGAATGTAACCATCGGCAAACACTTATACAACTTGTTACGATTTACAAGACATCAATTTGGGCAAAAAAACTCATCGAGAAAATTTTGCATGAATATCTGTATGACTCTATCAAGATCAATCCCACACAAATATCTAAATAAAACAACAAAAATCAAGTAGAATCTACCATATTTCATATAAGCATCTCCTGCATGCACATTTCGTTTTGCTTTAAAAGTATCAAACACTTACATTCTTTCATAAGTAAAAGAAAATCATTTAGAAATTTGTTTTAGGAGAAGATACACCTTTCCAAGAGCTTTGTCAATCAAGAGGAAATGGAATGATACCCGGTTTTGATTTCACTGTTAGGAAGGAGGAGAAATGAGGCTCTTGATTTGGGTTCATAAACTAGAGGAGAACAATGGGGTCGTCGTTTGCTCCCCTTATCGAGGAAGGAAGCTCAATGGTTGTTTTGGTTTTGTGAAATGGTGTAGGAGAGGGAGGCGGTGCCGGAAAGAGT